CCAGTTTCCATCGCGCCGCAACTGTTCCAGCGTCCCGCGATGGTTCGATTTTTTATTTCCGAGTCTTCGCGTCGAGTCCTACCACCACGATTAACCGGTTTAATAATGAATAAACGAGGTCTTAACTTGTCTTTGTTTGAGTCTACTCACATATCTAGTCTCATGGTCATAACACGAGTCTTGAATATATCACTTTCACCCACGAGTCCTTGCACGCACTTTGTACATGTCTTTTCACCATGACCATGTCCAGAGTCCTGTGTGCGTTTTTCCATCATTTTTTAGGGGGGTAAGTCAAATATTATCCTCCCAACATAAACCGTGTTGCTTGAAAACTTAGAGCATCAAGTACTATGTTCTTAATTTGGTTGTGGAGGTAATGCCCTTAGTCTCACTTGAATGCTTACAAAGAGACATGTATATTGTCTTTGGGTAAAAGTTCATTGCGAAACAAGTAGTTAGCTCCCACTGGAGCTACCTTAGCCCTTATTGAGCCACTTAGCTCCCACTAAACCAATGATCTCTCACTGAGGCTAAGAGCCCGAGACATATATTTAAAAAGACGCTAGAAACTAATTCTATCCATAACTGAATATGGTGTCTTTCTTAGCTTCGACAATTTTGTTTGGTGTAACATTAGTCATTGGTTCATATCTTTAAGAACATTATAGGAAGGGATGTGATTCATCATTGTTCAGGTCATTTCCAAATGGATTCGAGGTCTCCGTCAAGACATGCTATATTCATTGTGGATCTGATTATGAAATTCCAATTTCATAACCTTGAGATGATCATGCTTGGCTCAAGCAAACATCACTCGATCTAATCTAGACGTTTTGAAATCTTGCCAAGTCGATTCTATACTTCATTGAACTTATGAGCTACTCAAGATCCAGTTTGTTTCACATTTTATTAATATAATATTAATTCAAATTCTTGTGAAAACATTAAAATAATGGAATCCTTTTTAGTTTTTGGACTCAATTGTCGATACCAAGCACAATAGCTCCTTTCTTTGTCGTTTTTAACAAGTACAACTTCCTTGCCTTAGACCGATTCTGAATCGATCAACTTTCAAGAATCTATCTAATAGAGCCTTGAGTATGTTCTTGTCAATGTGACATTGCTAAAGATCATTGGGACACAAATCATGTCCATGACTTAAACCTTGTAAGTTTATGTTAGGGAAATGTTTGTTTATAATCAACCATTCTTGACTAATGGCTTAAATAACCATGTCATTCAAATAAAACCAACAACTATTGATCTTTTACTTTGGATGTGATTTTTACCGTGTGTAAACAGAACGTTTGCTGATTATGGAACACAAAACCATTATTTGTTCCAACCTTAGCTTTAAAAGGTCTTTAAATAAAGCAGATGACTTTACAACTGATGTAGCACCACTTGCTTCATTCCAAGATCGTAAGTCAATAACTTAGCTTAACTTCAATGGTTTGAGTTCACTTCAAAGTGGACTACTCTAGAAGCATCTAATACTTGTGAAGATAAGTTGTTAAGTTAACTACGATAACATGAACTCTTAAGTAGAATAGGAATCTTAAATTCCTTTTCTTTGTTCCTTATTTCCTATATTTCTTATCATACATCATCTCATAAATTTAAGAACCATTTCTTTAACTATTTTGACTTTTATACTTTGTTAGCCATAATTAAGTATCTAATGCGCCATAAAACAAAGTTCCATCTTTTCCTTTAATTCGTACTTGCATAACTACATCAATTAGTCCTACTTATTAGTGTATAAGGCGAAAAGATATGTAGGTCGTCAACTATTGACAGATTGAGTTTTCAACTAAATACTTCATGTTTATCAAAACTACCTAGTATTTTGAATACATGATGTCCAACCTTCCTTTCGGACTTTGTCAAAAAAGTCATTTTGAGAAGTTGTATTTTAGAATTGTATTTTCTTTCTTTGAGAACCATTCTCAAAAGATTTCCTTACCAATCGTTGGAAACATTATAATTCGATTTAGAATTCTACAAATATATGTGCAAATTATAACCATTCATCAAGATAACATAATAAGCTTTGAAATACATGCAAGCTAGCAATTTCAATTAACTTATTAACACTTTGTTCAATTTGAATTTGTCCCAAATGATTGAATAAAATGATTCCAAGATCCCCAAAATCAATAAGTGATTAAGAATGCTTTGGCTTGTCTTAACACTTATTATTATTATTATTTCAAGGTAAGAAATCCAATATCTAATAGTTCTAATCTATTCTTGGTTTATAAGTCGTCGCATCTAATGCCTTCTTGACGCTATCCCGTTTGCCATAACATCTAAGGATTCCTTACTGATATTGTTGAGTTTAACCAGAACTAAAGTGTATATGATGCCTTGCTTTGGCAAATCCATCAACATACCTTACGTCCCTTAAAAGTGATGATGCCTTGCTTTGGCATAGCCCATCACCTACTTTCGAAGTTTTAGTAAATGTCATTTTGAAATGGCAATTTTAACTCAATTTTCTTTGGGACTTAGGGTTTTTATATTGGTTTGATTTAAGTGAACTTAACTAATCATTCAACACAAGAAATCCTAACACATGCATCTAAATATCAAGATATTAAAGAAACATAAAAGATATATATAAATGCATAGTGAACTAACATGACCCCTTGAAAATTATCTTGAAGTATCCAATCTTCAATCTTCAAGGTCATCTTGGCACCTTTAGGCTCCATCTTCAAAGATACGCCGTCTTTAGATTTCACCATTAAGCATGCAAGCACTAGTAACTAGGAATAATCTAAATAAATTAAGTACAAAAATACTTAACGGCATGCAGTCCGTATTAAGATTTACAAAAATACGTAACGGAACACATCCCGTATTTTCAATCCTAGTCGAGCCATACTAGTCACTTTTTGTAAAAACCTGCATAAGAACATTTATAATATTCCATTCACCCAGTCACTTCATTCTAAAGTGTATGGCCTATGCAATTTTTACAAACAACACAAGCAATAATACAAAACTTGTATCAAACAAGCGCGCACTAGTTACTAGCTTAGGTTGTTAATCTAATTAACATATCTAATTAAAACTAGTCAAGTGTTTATCCAATTATGTGAACTCACGCAATAATAATAAGCATAATTAAAGCTTAACGAGCTCAAAACCGATTAACAAAGCTCTCACTAAAACCCACATCCATCTTAATTAAATTAATCCAATTAAATTTAAGCACATTGAGTCAAATTTTGTATAAATTACGTAAATATGTCAAAAATCGAGGACTTGCCTCATTGTTAAAATAAAACGTAAAACATAAGCCTAAACCCGAGGCCAAGCTCCCAAGCCAAAGGGTCGGGTGCTGTTAGGCTGCCTAGCCGAGCAGCCATGCTTGCACTTGGGCTGGGTGCTGCCTAGCAGCCCCATAGGCATTGCGTGCTAGTGCTACCCGTGCAAGACTAGCAACCCAGCAAGCACTCGCTAGCCTTGGAAGTCGCACAGCATGCCTAGCATGCCACTGAGCTGGCTGGTGCTTGCACGCGCTAGTGCTGGCTGGCAGGTGCAACTAGGCAGCCTTGCATTGCAGGCTGGGTGCTCCCTAGCAACCGCTGCCCTTGCGGCACGCACACAGTAGCCCTTGCACGCTTGCTTCAGCATCCACTCCCACACACTCGCACATAATGTGAGCTGCTCTCAGCAGCAGTATTAATGTAGGCTACGCAAGCAGCCCTTGTTAGCCGAGGGCATCTCTTCGAGGCTTTCGACCTCGATTTTGGTGCAAACTCCGGAATTTTCAATCCAAAAAATTGTGTGAGTTTAATAAATTCCAAATTAATTTAGAATTAGCATTTAAGCAATTTTGAATTAATTTTAAGTCCAACTTAAATAATCCAAGTTTAGTGCAAAGATCAAAAATTAATTCTAAGAACCATTCTTTAATAATTTTAGGTTACTTTGATGTAATCAAAAAATTAAGGGCATGTAACATGATTAATAACTCATCCAATGATTAAATTAATTATATATTTGACAAAACTAGTTAAATGAATTGATTAAACATCCATTGAAAAATAATTTATTCAACCAATACTCATACACATTTAATTATTTCAACCATTCAAAAAAGAACAATATTCAAGCATAAATGTGAGCAACAAGATTTTAATCGATTTCCAAAATCATTAAAACTCAAAATATATTCACTTTGGATTTTAGCAAGTCAAGATCTAATCAATAAACCATTAAAGATTCAATCTTTGACCATTTTAAGGGTTCATAAATCACATCCAACATAGCTCATACATTTCAAGCAATCTAATTGCAAAATGAACAATGTCCAAGTTTATGTGAATTTAGAGCAATCCATATTAAGTAACCAAATGTTATCCAAAGCATGCTTAATAAGGAATATATTTGCAGTAGATTAATGCCATAATTAAGGGTGAAAGTTCGGTATTTGGTTTGGATTTTGGCCTAAACCGAATCCGAATTGAACTAATTGGATTTTGGAATTTTCAATCCATATCCAAACCGAATTAGATTTCGGGTCAATCCAAACCAAACCAAAATTCAAAGTGTTGATCCGAAACCAAACCGAAAACCGAATTTTTTGCCTAAATTATAGATCTGTCCAATAAAAATTAAAGACCAAGTTATAACAACAAGATTATTTAAATTTGTATCACAAAACCTTCACCAAGTTTGGGACAGTGCTGCCATTGATGCCACATCAAAGAGCAACAATGTTAAAGTATTAAAAAAAATGATTCATTAAATTTATGTATTTACAACAATTTTTAAAGTCTTTTTGAACACTAACAATCTCAAAATATCACAATAGCATGAACATTCAGATCTTGGCGACGTTGGAGTCGTTGCTCACTTGTGTTTCTTAGCATGCACATCCTATTCAAGAACTTTGCATCAATACTTGATATTACCCAGAAACAAAAAGTGATCGAAAATTTACCACTTTTTTTTTTTACAATAGCAAAGGAACAAGAACAGAATTATAACAAATTAGAAGAGTTAACCAGGCATTTCTTAGCAATGTCATCAGCTTTCTGTACCTGGTCACGCTGTACTTTTAAAATCGTGCATCTTTGAAATGATGCCCCCACTTCTTTAATTTCCTTTAGTAACCAAGCAATAGAAATTTCCTTGCCCGGGTCCATCCGTAAGTTGCTCAAAAGGCCCAAAGAGTCGGATAAGAGAAGAATTCCCTGTCTCCCTTTTGCTCGAGCCCATTTCAAGGCCTCTAGGCATGCCCAGGCTTCACTTTGAATAACTAACGCAGCTGCTCCATGTTTACCACCTTGATCGAGGCCAAACCCGTGATGATTATCCTTAATTGCCCAACCTATCCCTGCTCTCGTTGTTTTCTTATCCCAGGAGCCATCCGCTTCCACAATGAAGTCATCAAAACCACTCTTTTCTTTACCCAGATGCCCATAATTATAGCCCGGGGGAATGGTCGGGTGATCCAAGTCATTGACCTCTAACACAATTGATGGCCTCACTTGATGCTTGAACGTTTCATGGTCATCCATGGCAAGATGAATAAATTCTCTTACTAAACTTATCGACCCCGTATCATCCTTGAAACATCTGGCATTCCTAGACTTCCATAGCCCCCATAAAGAAGAAATAAACAAGGCACAGCGGTTACTGTGCTTACCATCCTCGCTATTGAACAGCAGGATATAGTGCTGGATCCAATCTTTCAAAGAGTTGAACCCAGGAGAGTCATGGAAAATAGTTAGGGAGCTATCCTCCCAAACTTCTTTTGCCAGAATACAAAACCTGAAGAGGTGTTGGCTATCTTCCAAGTCTACCCCACAATGATCACATACTTCATCTACTCGTATTCCCCTTCTAGCCAGGTTAAATTTGACTGCAATTCCATCATGAAAAAGACGCCAAAGGAAAACTTTCCATTTCGGCTGAATGACCAATCTCCAAATTAATTTTACAAACTCTTGATCCCTTGCTAGAAAAGTGGATCTCTCTAAACCCCAATCCTTTGATAGGTAGTGGTATCCAGTTTTGACTGTATATCTAACCGACGGGTGATATTTCCAGTAAAGGAAATCATCCTCCTCATTTGACTGTGGTAGTTCCATGGACAAAATCGATTTCGCACTCTCATAGTCGAAACATTCCCTTACCTTTCCTGCATTCCAAGTTCTAGCCTCCCTCTCAATAAAATCCTCCACTTTCCAATTAGCCACGGTTCTAAGCGTTTGACCTGAGTTAACCGTTGGAATAATATCGTTTACCTAAGGCATACTAATGGTCTTGATATCCTTTCCATTCCCCACCTTTAAAGAAAAACCCTCCTTAAAGGATTGGATGGCGTGACGAAGGCTTGACCTTCCCATAGAGGGTCTCCCTCTTCTTCTATTCTGGCCATTTAGATTACATATGCCACACGCTTGGAAGCCTTTGTGCACTCTTAAAACCAGAAGTTAGGGGTTGAGATGCATCCTAGTCGCCTGCTTAAATAGAAGTGCATCATTGAGGCTCGAACATCCTCGAATTCCCAGACCTCCCATGCTCTTTGGGAGTTGGATTACACTTTTACTCACCCAATGTAACCCTTTAGCCCCCGTACTAGCCCACCAAAAACGGGTAATTAAAGCATCAATCTTGTTCGCAATACTCTGAGGGAGTTTGAGACACTTCATAACATGAGCAGACATACTTACTAGCACCGTGTTGATGAGAATTAGCTTTGTCGGTTGGGAAAGTCTTAAAGGGGCCCAAGACATGATTTTTTCCGAAACTTTATTCACTAAGAAGTGGAAATAGATGCTCTTCTTCCCTTGAATATCTATCGCGGCTCCCAGATGAATCCCCATGTTGTTAGTTTCTGGTATTAAGAGAATTTGTTTCATTGCCAATTTCATGGCGCTGTCAGCTCCCAGGGAGAACTTTATAACAGATGAGAAATCGATGGCGACCTGCGGGAGACCTTTAAACCTTGAAATTGTTTGATATCTTCCTCCAGCTTTAACATTCTTGAAAGGATGTCCATACAGATGATAAAAAGATACGAAGACAGGGGATCTCCTTGTCTCAGACCACACCTGGGGGCAAAATGATCAGAAGTTTTCCTATTTATAATAGCTTTGAAACTAACCGTCGAGATGCACAGTGAAAGCATCTTTATCCAGTGGTTGGAGAACCCCTGAGCTCGTAAGACTTTCAGAAGAAAGAGTCAGTCCACTCTATCATAAGCCTTAGACATATCAATCTTGACTGCTGTAAAATTAGAACCCTTCTTCGAATTTATAAGATGCATTAGCTCATGGCTCAAGAGGATGTTATCCTCTATATACCTACCTGGGATGAAGGCATGCTGGTTGTCTGTAATAAGACCCGGGAGGACGGCTTTTAACCTATTCACCAAACACTTTGAGATACACTTATACACCGTATTGCACAAACTGATTGGTTTGAGGTGGCTAGCAAGTTCCGGGACCTTAACCTTTGGAATCAGCACTAGCATAGATTGATTCCATTCTTTAAGCATGTTTCCTGTTCTCAAGAATTGCCTAACACTATCGGTAACCAAGCTTCCTACCTTATCCCAATAAGTTTTGAAGAAATCAACCATAAAACCATCTGGCCCTGGAGACTTAGAGCCTTGCATATTGAAGAGAGCACTCTTTATTTCATTATCTGAGAAATCCCTATCCAGCCAAGACCTATCTACGTTCGAAAAAGTAGGGATATCTAGTTGGCGGAGAAGAAGATCTATGACTTCCCCATGATTGTCGGACAAAACCGGGTTATAGATATCCTTGACTGAAGTTAATATCACCTCTTCAACTTCTTGATGCCCTTCCACCCACGAATCATCCTCATTCCTTAAAGCTAGGATTTCATTTTGTAACTGCCTTTGTTTCACCTTCCTATACATTATAGGATTCGGGCAATCCCCGCACCTAATCCAGTTCGCCTTCATTCGTTGCCTCCAAAAACTGTAACCCAATTGGCTCTCTGGCACAAGACTATTTATATTCTGGATATATCCCTCCTCTTCCTGAATTGTACTAATATTCATCCCCGAAATTCGCAAATCCTTTGACAGCTTCCTCCAATTGATCCCCCAAAACTTCTTATTTTCCAAGCTCCAATATTGGATCTTAGTCCTAACCCTTTCTAGCTTCCTAGGAAGCTGGAACATGAAAGACCCCGTGACTTCCTCATCCCACGTATTCCTCACAATATCTTTTACTTCCGGAAAAATAAAATACCAATTTTCGATTTGGTAGGGGCTATCGGACATCGTGGTCCTAGACCGATTAGTATAAGTGATTGTCGCGCGGTCGGAGCATACTATTGGCTCATGAGAAATCCGCCCATCTGGAGAATGTTCAAACCATTCTTCTGTAATATAGGCACGATCAAGCCTTTCTAGAATCAAATCGTCCCCTTCCCTTTTGTTGCTCCAAGTAAACCTCGGACCCGAGAAAGGCACTTCTGTTACATTGCTACTGAACCTCCAATCTAGGAAGGCCTCAATTCCTCTAATCCGAATTGAACCTCCTAGTTTGTCACTTCCACTCTCCACTTGATTAAAATCTCCTATTACAAGGACATTTTTGAATTCGTCCAAAAACCATTGTAATTGTTGCCATACTATTTTCCTATTTTCAACTTGAGGATCACCATAAAAAAACAAAACATACTTCGAACTACCATTAGATTCATTAATCTTACAAAGGATAAATTTTTTTGAGGAATACAAGCAATCGACTAAAACATTTGACCAGCCTAAGACTAAAAGACCACCACTACTACCATCCGAATTCCACCCAAAAGTGGTAGTAGGGCCTAGAACACTAAGCCTAGCTGTCGCCGAAACAAAATCCATTTTAGTTTTCGAAATAAATAAGAACATAGGTAGTTTAGTACGATAGAGCCACACAAGATATGGAATTGCCAGGGAGTGTGGATCATTTAAGCCCCTGCAATTCCAAGCCACAATATTCATAATCCCGTCGGGGGCTGAGTAAGAGCAGCCACCTCACCCTCCGTAGTGATCCTGATCGAATCAAAAATAGTCAACTGTAGGTCAATATCCATATCATCCTTCACTTCTCTAAAAGTCGAAGACACTTCTTCACTTTTCTGTCTTTTAAAAGACTCAGACGAGGAAGAAGATAAGACTTGGGGTTTCTTATTCCTACCCCTCATGTGAAGGTCACCATCAATGTCCACCCCAAATTCCCTTGCCATGTCGGGATCCGTAATAGCCTTTGAAGCGAACCTGCACCCTCCTTTTTCATCTTCTAGCCAAATCGTAAACCCCCCTTTTTCCGACCACCTGTGAAACCTCTTAAGCCTCTTCCTCTCAACCCATTCATGATCAGTTTCACTATAACGAACCGAATCTCCTTCAAGTGGAAGTGGCATGTGGCCAACCGCCTCCCTTGTTCTCTTCTTTGTGTTGACACTGTCATCATAGTTAAAAAGCTCAGTAAAATTAAAAGAACTGAAATGCGATACCGGAGAGTTGGGAGGATCAAATTCAGTCATAGGAAGATTCGGCAATCTCGCTAAATCCATTGAAGACAGTCGTAAAAAGGGGGATGAAGTTCCTCTTGCATTCCTGTGCATTTCCTAGATCTTCGTCCTCCTAACATTTCGGATTCCCAAGGATAAGATTGTACTTGCCTCGATGATTTGCGCATACTCTTCATCTACATGCTGCTCATATTCCTCTATCTGTCTAGTTGCCATGATTGACGGGCTCTCCAACCAACCATGAGCATGAGCGGTAACCTGACAACCCAAAGATGTACCTTGTGCATCTGCAGTTCCCTCGAGCACATTTAAACTTCTTCCGAACTCGACTGGGGTAGAGGCCCATTCAGAAATCCCCAAAGTATGGAATAAGGACCCTGGTCCCCCCCTTTGTCGCTGCTTCTGCCTTGTTGAGGATGGCTCACCCACCTCAAAGGTTGAACCCTCAAATAAAGACCTGATCGGAGGAATAGGGATGCTGGTTTCGAGTGCCTCCGAACCCCTTGCATTCATTGTCCTGCTTGCACTCATAGGCCTACTTGATACTTGAGTTCGACAACCTCACATCGGAGTTCCTCACCAGAATCTCGCCTAACCCCTTCATTATGCCCTTCTTGATTGTTATTGGTTAGACCTTGCTGTACAAATTCCGCATAAGGGTCAACATTGAGACCCAGTCGCCTACCTGGCGAAAGTTTGAGATCCGGCCTCACTGGTTCCACCTCCCGTTCAACAAGTTCCGAGTCTTCATTCGACCATTCTTCTCTACCAGAGTGATAGTGTTCACTCTCATCACTGATCTGGCTTGATGAAGAATCCCCATACGGATGCCCTTCTTCGAAGCCCCTCTCCTCCCTTGGTCCTCTCCCATACATTGGAGATCCCTCTGGATTTTCGAATGGATGAAGATCAAGTCCTGTGTTGCGAAACCGATACCAGTCCGGAAGGCCCCTAATAAGATTAGAATAGAATGGATATTCGGCCGGCCATATAACACCCTCAAGCCATCCGCTTCCACTTCATTCAGTCTACGCCGCACCCTCCTCCTTACGACCGTAGCATAAAGAGTGCACCTAGATGTGGCATGACCTGCACAACCACACAGTTTACAAAACTTATATATCCCTTCATACCGAAGGTATACCCAAATAACTCGATTCCCTTCCAAAGGAATAAAGCACCCCGGGATTAAGGGGATGGAGAGGTCTATTAGGACGCGGGCCCTAAGTTCCGCATGTATTGGAAGTTCCTCCCCTTCATGCTCTACCTCTTTGATGTATCCCACATGACGAAGGATTTGCCTTGCCCAACTTGACGTTAGATAAGCAAGAGGAAATCCATAAACCCTAACCCAAACTCTTGTAAGACAGAAATTCATATATTGGGGCACAAAATCAGCTTGATATCTTCTGAGATTAATGATTCTGCCATCAATTGTCGTTGTGCTTGCAAGAACAAGGTTCTCAAGATCCTGACTATGCAAGCACTCGAACAGGAAATACGGCCCTGACCTATGCACCCTTATCTCCCCCCTCCTTATCCAATGAGAGGTTACAATATGTTGAACAAAGTTTTCAGACGGGGGGTG